CGAGTAAGTTGCCTTCTTCAAATTTTTATCTTGTTTTGTTCCCACATTGTTTTTGAGTGAAAAGTGTTTCACTGTTTGTGGCAATTTTTGAACTGTGCGATTTATGGGAGCAATGATGCAACGTAAATTTTTGTGTGAAACGGGGGGAAACTTTTACGGAAACATTTCATCTTTTGAGTCAAGCTTATGGAGGTGATACTTTAGGTTGTTTGTAGTGTTACAATTGGTTACACATTTCAAAAGTGGTTGTCAATTAGTTGATGACGACCCTTGACCAGAAAAGCCTTTGACCTCAACTGATGACACTCATGTTTAGAAAATCAAGGATCTGGTACATGCAAATAGTTATCTGATTGTTGGAGAACTTGCAGATGTTGGGATCTCAATAGGGTTGTGCCATGACATTTTAACAGAAAATTTGAACACACATCAAGTTGCAGCAAAATTTGTTTCTTGTTTGATGACTGAACTGAAGAAGGAAAATTGAGTAGACATTTGCCTGGAACTCCTTCAAGAAGCCAACGATAACAAAACATTCATGCAAAGGACCATAATGAGTGACAAGCGTTTTATGGCTACAACATTGAGACAAAAGTTCAATCATCACAGTGGATTGGCAAGGACTCTCCACACCCAAAAAAAGGACGACAGTCTCTCTCGATCCAATGGCAAGGTGATAGATACCTTTTTTTTTCTACTTCAATAGAGTTGTGCACTTTGAATTTTTGCCTCAAGGTCAAACAGTGAACCAAGACAACTCATGGTTCTTTCACCATGATAACGTGCCTACTCACTCAGCCTTGTCAATTTGCCAGGTTTGTGCCAAAAATCAAATGACTGTTCTCCCTCCTACTCACCAGACCTGGCTCCTTGCAATTTTTTCTTGTTTCCAAAATTAAAAACAGTGCTAAAAGGATGCTGTTTTGACACAATTGATAACATTAAAGCAAATTTGTTACAAGCATTGAAGGGACAGTCTGAAACAAGCTTGCTGGGACTGCTTTGCAAAGTGGAAATACCGCTGAGATAAGTGTGTGAATAGGAGGTAGTACTTTGAAGGGGACAAGGACCAATAATCTAACTTGAAAAATTAAAAAAGTTGTTATTTTTTGAACAGACCTCGTACAAAATTATATATAAATCATAAGTTTATAAATTAAATATGAAGATCACTGCTTTATATATGTACAAAATGTTACAAAAATATTATTACACTGTTCTTTAATTCAAAGTATGTAAGACTAAAAGGAATGTTTTGAATGATTACTGTAAATATCAATAAATGGTTTTTTTCAATAATAAACTACTGCTAACTTGGACAGTTTTTTCAAAACAATAATTTAAAATTTCTTGACAATAGAAAATTTACAATTAGTGTTTTCAACATCCAGAAGTCTTTGCAATACATTTATATTACTGTAGTTGATAAATAACTAAAGACTAAATTGCTTTATATTGTACTGTCATTAAATTTTTGAACTCATTTCCTATATTAATAAATTTAGCAATATAATCTCAGCTCAGTAAAACTGTATAAAGCTGATTATAATAATTTACTGTACTATATATCCGCATTCTCATTTTTCATGTCATTAGAGAATCCACCCCAGTAACCTTGACTTCCTAAACTTGTACATCCTTCACTCCCTTATTAATCAGAAGTTTGTTTACTCTATTTTTATTTGTGTAAATATGTTTATTAAAAATGTATTGTTCAGTGAGTTCCTAAAGGTAAGTTTTTGTCATAAAGTACATATTTATAAATTAGATTTATTGGGTGGACTTGAACATCAAAATAATTGTCATTTTAGTGAAAAAGATTTTTTTCCATTTGAAAATAAGAAAATATTTTATACTTAAGTATTTGAACATTATTTCTTGTCACATTAAACCCAGTTATTTAAACAAGCATTAATACAGTTGTAGAATTTATAGTGATTTCGTAGGTTTTTTTTATTTATCCTTTAATATTTCATTGTTTTAATCACTCAGAATTATAAGTATCCCTATAAATATTTCTTCTTCTAAAAGTTTGTGATCTTTTCTCAGTGCTGCTTATAGATTTTGTTCTTACTGCCATGTTATTAATTCCCTGAAGAAGTTAGATAAGAAATAAAGATTTTCTTTTCAGATTACAGGTTAGCTAATTGATACAATAAGAGTGTGTAGTTTTTCATTCTCGGGACTGGAGTAAACTAGATGATTTCAGCAAGACCCAGTTGGTGATATCTCCTAAATCAGGGATGGTGAATGCTTTTGAGTCTTATATAGTAAACATACTTATCTTTAAAAATGTTTATGCTTGCCAAAGTTCTAGACTTCAAATAACTGTTTACTCTAAATAAAGTGTATTTATTTAAATGCAAAGAAGCTGATTGAAAAAAGGATGATTGGGTGATAAACCATAAGGATGATTGAAAAATATAGGTTAGAAACCAAAAATTGTGAAATAGGTTATTTGCCTGGTGATTTCTCCAACATTCCCCTTTGAGACGTATTCCATAAGCTCACCACCCCTGCACTAGGTTCTAAGTAGGATACATGTAGTCATTGGAAACTGTAAGCACTACATAAAAGAAGGTATGGCTAATTACAAAAGAGCTGTCTAGTTAGGTTTCTGGATCAACCAAGGAATGACAGGTATGTGTAGATGAATTTACAGTAGAGCGTCGTTTATCCGAAACAATTGGAGACTGCAGTTGTTCGGATAACTTATTTTTTGGATAACCGATTACGTACGAAAAAATATAGTAACCTATTCCATGTTGAAATTTTTCTCCGTTGCGTGTCACTTGGCATTGAATTTTCGTCGATGTTAAGCCTAACATAAACTTTTTAAAATAATAATCGTGGCTATTGTATCGTTAAAAATTATTTCTTTATTTTGTATAAACAAAAAAAATATATTGAAAAATATAAAAACCAAAAAAATATACTTTAATAGTTGATCTAGTATCAAAAACGTTCGATTCAGCACCACACACAAGTCCTCAGAAAAACACCACACAAAAGTGCTAGTGCTGCCAGCTAAAACACACACACCAACAAAAAAAAAAAATATTGGAGTAGCCCAAGATAGAGCCAAAGATTGCAGTGCCACAGCGCTAGCGAAAATTTAAATTTGCCGACTGGAATTCTTTCGGATAAACGACGCTCTACTGTATTGCAAAGAATTTTGGGATAATCTTGTTCAAACACACAAAATAAACAAAAAACATGGCTGAAGCTGTTTATGGTTGAGAAAAATGGACTTTACATGATAAATTTTCTGATAGATGTATTCAAGAGAAAGTTCTTCTGTTAAAGTATTTATACTATCTCACTCCTCTTGGTGCTGAATCCATTTTCAATTCAATCCTGTTCATCCACGCACAGATTTATCTTCAACTGCCTAAACAGTTGCAACTGTAGCTAATAAATTCATCATAAACTAGATTCTAATGCTTCTTCCACATTTGCCAACAATTTGGAGCCTAGCTGTGTGTTGTTCAGCTAAAGTGAGACTTATGGATTCTAATTGGTTAAATAACATCACAAAGTTAATTTGCACATGTCTCTAGAAATGAAGCTTTCCACAACTAGCAACGTATTGAAAACATGTGGTGGTCTGACATCATATTGTCAGTGACCAAGTTGCTTAGTTTGCTACCAACTTTAGTATTACTTACTACCCCACTTTATGGATTGCATATTTTCAGTATTATAATCAATCTAGATAATCTGAAAATGAAGGAAATAATTGTTATATCAGAGTGCAACAATAAAAAACTTACAAATAACTTACAGCATTTGTCATCAGAAGGATCATAATAAGTTTTACCTCATCATCAAAACAATTAAAATATTAATTTGTTTAAAGTAGATATTGATTCTAGTACAGATATATAGTATCTGCTTACTGTAATCAGTTTGGGACTTGCTTTTACTGATAACTCATGTTGTACTTGAATACTAAGGATATAGAATGTCTAATCCTGGTATGGAAATATGCTATATTTATAATCTTTAGATGCCATATGTATAAGTTTTGACCATATAATAATACTAAGACAAGTCCTTTGTTTTTGTGTGTCTTGATCTATAACATCTTAATAATTGGTCAATGTAATTATTAAAAATTTGTAATAAATGGAAAATGTTGTTGTTTAATGTTCTAAAAATTTATTATAGGCAATTGCCAGTAGTTCTTTAATAAACTGGTTTGAATATATTACTATTTAAGGTGCTGAATATATTACTGTTTAACGTGGTGGTTTATTCTCAAGCTACATTACTGTATAGTTAGCATGTACTGATAACATTAAGCATAACAATTCTGGAATGATTGATATATTAAAATAATGGTAAAACAATTTGAAAATGAATAACTTGATTTAATTATTATTAATATCTTGCTTTCCACCATCACTATCATCTTTAACATCAGATGACACTTCTTACTTCAATTACAGGTTAACAATTTTATTTTAGTGTTGTTTAATATTTTTTAATTGTCATTTGTTTAATCTTTTTAATATTTTTTAATCATTTAAAGCACTGGCTAAGACTGATAATTGATAACAATTGTCCATTATTGACTGTATGCTTAGGCAACAGCATAAAAAGATGGCCTGTTTATTAGGTGATACATCAAATTTAGTTTGAGTGGCAGTTAATGTGTTAAACAAGTGGTGATAACATCCATGATTATAATTCTACTGTGATTCTACTATGTTTGGTGTAGAGAAATTTTTATGAATGACTTCTTATTCTAACAATATATTTTTGAATATTAATCCAACAAATGCATAATGATCTTTTATTAAATGGTGCTTTTTTTTCCAATATTAGTAGCATCCTTGATTCAACTTAGATATTTTTCTGCAGATATTTAGATTTTACTATTAAAAAATAAATAAGAATTGTAATTTAGAACATATTAAATAAATTACAACTAAGGTTTTTATAAGCTATTCTGTTTTTCATAAATTGATATAATAATGAGTTTTCTTCTTTCTTAGCATCAAGAGTCCTTGGGACAGTGAAATGGTTTAATGTGAAAAATGGATATGGTTTTATTAATCGGTAAGGTTTTTAAATTGAAATTTCAAAATACTTACTAGAAATAAAATTAATTTTTGTATTTGATTTTCATAACTGATAGATTATTAAATGTAATAAAATTTTTACTTTGTTAAAAAAAATTATTTTTTAAATATGAATAATTATATTAATGAAATGTTCATATAATACTTATTATTATACTTAGCAAAATAAAAAAAATTATTTAATAAAGGAATTTTAAATTTTTTGTAGCAGATAATTTGATACAAATTATAAGACTTCAGTTTTAAAATTCAATTTATATATTAATAATTTATCTGTAGAGAATAACTTTTATGTTAATTTTTGTTTTAAAATGAATAAATTACATAATGTCACTTGCAGTACAAAATATTTAGCAGTTGTGAAAGTGTGAAAGTAAATGATAGTAAATATTAAAAAAATAAGGATTTAGTTTACTGAGATTATTATGAGTGATGTAGTAATCAATCTCATTTAAACTTTTCATTGTAAACAGTGTTATAGTTGAATTGTTGTCTTTTAGGACTGTATTATACTAGTATAATCTACCAATCACAAATATTTATTTATTCTAATGTGTTTTTAGACAAATATTGTAAACTAACTGAGGAACCTAGGATCCTAAACACAAGATATATTTAAATGAACCAAGTGAAAATAAAGTAACTTTGTTTTAATGATGACACTGTTTTCCACTAATATAATATTGATATTGTTTTGACATAAACTTAATTATTTTAAGAAATTATTAGTGTATTTAAGCCATCCTGTGTCTTTGTTACTTGGTCCAAACTCTTTTATTCCATTTTGGTCATAAAAGTAAAATTAGAATACACTTTTATTTATTAAGGAAAGACAAGGAGGATAAGAAGTCATTTACCATTGAAAATATTAAAATATGCAAAAGCTGCTTAGTTATAGCTAGTGTCTGATCAGGGCTGCTTTTAGTAATTTTTTTTATCTGAACAACTGTCAGTTTAAGCAACAATTATGCTAACAAACTGTAGAAAAAGACACCTTATACTCTCACAATCTTGGTGCAGTGGTATGATATACAGAGTTGTCCTGGTAGATACAGGATTTGTCACAAAATTGTTCCTTGATTATTAGACTTGTTTGGCAGATAAGTTGGTTTTGTAGCACTCTACATTTACAGATCTAGTTATAATATGTAGCTTTACTAGCTATGCATTCCATACCATTTAACACTCTTCATCAGTCAATCCCTATTATAGAGCTTTGCTTTTCTACATCTATCATATGGTTTGCCATCAGATCTGTTCAGATTAAATTTGAACTTACTCCAAAACAAAACTGAATTCCTTGTCATTGGTCCAAACTGGATGCTATCTGGCCTGGATAAGTTACTGTGCATTTTACTCAACTGTAATGGCTTCTTACATGCAGAAGACTTTTCAAACTCATGTGACACAGATGGTGATGCACAGTTTATACACTTATTTTTTACATCTGTCTGGTCTTTTCATTTTACTTTCAGTTTGGAAGAACTAACAGTATATTCTTACATGCCAAGATGCTTTAGCATGCTATCCTGGCACAGTGAACTCATGCACTTACTTCTTGATCCAGCTTTTCTTTTCAACATTTCCAAGTTTACATCTCCTTTGTAACAAATGCTCCATAGTTGATTGATAACAATGCACTTTGTATGTTAATTCACATGTGGATAACCCTTCAGTATTCAAAGCAATAATGATGGACTTTTCACATGGTGTTAACTGTCACTCTTCATTTTGCTTACAAAAGTACATGGATCTTTTCCTGGATATCAATGCATAATACATATGTAAGAAACATTTCTGCAGTAGACTGTCACCCAACAAAAAATATTTGCTGTTATGGTTGATGCAATTTTTACAATTTCTTTTAAGTCTGAAGCAAAATGATTCTTTAATTTAAAAAGACATTTTTATAGGATTTGAATGATAAAATTTCCATAGTTGCTACTGTATCTTTAAATTAAAATATGTATTTCTACTTTTCTCTAAGTACAGTGCACTCTCACTAATACAAACCTAAGCCAATTAAACTCAAAAAAATGAATAAATTTAGCAATTAAGCAAACTGTCCTAGCCAAAAATTAAAGTTCTTATAGATTACTTTTTAAAAACATAAAATTTGTGAAATTAATAAATATTGTACATTTTAACATGCATCAAATATTAAAATTTTTATATTGTGTTTATTTGGATAATTTTCCTCTCATTTTTTTATGTACAACTCAATGTTCTGAACCTTTCACTAATGAGAATGTTCTTGAATAATAATGACTTTACAGCAGTGGTTCCCAATTAGTTTTTCCTGCGTACCAATTCAAGAAAGAGCTCAAACTCATGTACCTCTTATAGCAGAAATTCATATTAATACATACTATTATAATAAATTTGAATGTAATTCTGTCCGTCTGTCTGTTACCTTTTCACGTCTAAACCGCTGAACAGGTTTTAATAAAATTTGGCACAGAGATAGCTTACATCTTGGAGATGGACATGGGCTATATTTTACTGCAAGAAAATATCTTACTCCCACGAGAAAATTCGATATAATGCAAGCGAAGCTGTGGGTAGACAACAAGTAATAAATAGAATAAGTTTTTTTTACATTTATTACCTTTAAAATACAATTCTAATAATAATGAAAATAACATAAGGTTATTTAATTTCAATGCGACAAATGTGCACGATTTTCTTTGCACAACTTTGTAAAATCTGGTTGCTTTTTGGTCAGCTTCAGTCTCAAGTCATCTTTGAGTTGAAGTTGGTGACGATGTTTAGTTTTCATGTTTGTCATGGCCGAAAATCCACTCTCACAGAGGTATGTTGTGCAAAATGGTAGTAAATATTTTATTGCTGCTTCACTGACATGATGATGATGATAATTGTACAATTTTCGTTTCTTGTATTTCGGTATTGTCACAAATGCATTTTTTTTAATGAAATTTCGAGAATATTTTTAGTTATAAATAAATGAATTTATGCATTCCACATCATGTTGTAAATTGCCAAATTTTTGATGGTCCACCCATTATTTTTTTGATTGTTTTATCTCATGCATTTAAATTTTAAATTGACCAATTTTAGATTGCCGCACATACTCCTTAATGCAATTTCCACTAATTGGGAACCATTGGTTTACAGTAATGAGAAGGCACTGTAACTGTTAAACATATTCCATTAGCAAATGAATTAACTTAAGTGTTATTAACCTGTATTAATTCATTTCAGTTGTTTTGAGTTATATTAACTATATAATTATGCAATATATTAAAATCTAATATGATTTAGTAGTTATAGACATTGATTTGCAATAGCAGATTTTAATCTAAAATTGAAAATTTATTTTGAAACATAATTAAGAAGTTTTACATTAAACTGAAATTAACATTTTATTTCTATTTGATTTGTATGTAAAATTTATTTATTTTTCCTTACAATCAAATTTGTCAGTTTTACTGTAAAGTAAAATATCCAGATCTTACTGTAAGTAGTCCTTTATGTTATTTAATTCCAACTTGTATAGATTTTATATATGAACAACTCAATTGATAACAGGTATAAAGTTGGCTCTTTTGATTGCATTTGATTATTATACAGAGAATGAGTAACTACTTGCTTGGATTAAAATATTGTAGCCAGTTTTAAAAGTAATGGTTTTATTTTATTTATCACAAATACAGTTGAAATGTTGTTTATTGTGCAAAATATTTTGGTGAGTTTAGAAAATCTAAACTGTTTAATGTTTTGTTTAATATCCAAATTTTTTGGACAATCTTAGTTTAAAAAGTGAACCACTTTGAATGTTTTTAAAATAATAATAAATTCCAAATTTAATCATTTTTGTGGTAATTAAGAGAGATAAGGGGTTATTAAGTTCAAACTTATTTTTTTAACTTGTTATATTTCAATACATTTCATTAGATATATAATGAGTTTAGAATGTATAGAATACAAAGATGACATTTTAAATAAGTTGGCTCACTTTTCTTGCTTATTTTTGATTCTTGAATTTCATCCAAAAATAATAATTGAACTAACTTTTTAGTATATTCAATTACAATGAGCAATTATTTATTGTGACGTCGTCACAATGCCAGGCTGCAACTTTTATTCATATTTTTAATTTAATTTAATTTAAAATATGTCCTCCATCTCAAATTAGTAGTGGCTTGCCCCTATACATTATACTTTACCTTTAACAATAGTCGTCATCTATTAACTGCTTTCAGGACAAAAGTTTTGAATTGAAATAACATGACTTACAGTTTGCATCAGAAATTCATATATATATTTAATTGGGGCCTCCTGCCCCTAAGATTTCCATATCTAGTCTAGGATTTTGTCTATCTAATTCCATTCTCAAGATTAGGGAAAGACAGTAACAATTTTTTTAAATTACAGCCCTAAGAGTACACAGTTGTCAAGTTTTTAAATTTTTAATTTTTTAAGTAATTTTCTGGAAATTTTTTCTAATATCTACTTGATTCAAAAATTTTAAAGGTAGTAACATCTAAAGCATATTTGAAAATTTCATTTTCATTTTAATTGAAGTTTTATGTACACTGGATTTATCTAAAATCTGTAGCCAGATTTAGTAGTAATTCTTGGAACTTTAAGATTGAAATTAATGTTGGAAATTTTTTTAGCTTAATCTTTTTGCACAGTTGAAATTTTGAGAATAATTTATGACTAGTTTCTGGAGAAATATCAAACCTCTAACAGATAGAATGTTTGTTTTTATAGAAATTGATTAGTCATCCTAGAACAAAAATACTGTCAACTTCAATTCAATTAGATTGGTTCCCAATCTCATCACTTGTGATCCCAAGGAATGAATTTATTTACATGAGAGTTCATAAATTACTAGGTGAATTTTTAGTGGTCAGTAAACAAATTTCTAAAATCATGGAAATATATTTACATATCGTTGTTGTTGTTGTTGTTATATTTATATTTTTTCAGAAAATGTTTCAAATTATAATATTTTCTTCATCTGATTAACCTTACTCATATATTGAATTGTAAATTTTTTACTAATCTTATATGAAAATAATGCAAAAATTAAATATTAAAGTTAAGATTAAAAACTATTCATATAATTTATCATATTTTATTCTGTGTGATGATCTATCATGGAATTCAGTTTAAAAAAGGAACAAAATATAAAATTTCATTTCATTTTCAGACTTATTGAATTAACATTATTAATATTTTGTTTTAGTTTTTTTTTATTCTTGAGAGAGAGTGCAGTTTCATTTTCTTAAACTTAGCATAATAATTAGCATAATTTATTATTACGTTTCTTCGAACATTTATTTAAAATTGATATTGCTATTTTTATTTGAATATAATAATTAAATATATTATGTACAAAACTGAATTTTTACACAGTTGATTTTTCTACAAAAATCTAAGGCCCTAAATTTAGCTCAAAAATAATGATTACATAATTACTTTCCTTTATAATAATTTCCATATGCACATATATACTTGTTCCAACCATAATGCTACTGATGGAAACATTTCTGGAATTTTTTTTTTTAATAACCTGTTTGACAGTCTATTTTATTAGATTTGATTTCCTTAATAATGTCAAATTGCTTCCTTCTCATTATTTTCAATTTTGCATAAAATCAGAACACACAGTGACAATTTGGTTGGAATGCTGATTGTAAGATGCTAAAAGTTATTGGATGTAATATGTGAAGGACACATTTGTCATGACAGAACACACTACTCAAAAAATTTGAGTTCTTTTCTATCTAATTGATTCCCTCAAACATGTTTCAAGCTTTGTAAAAACACATTAAAACAAAATTTCACATTTTCACTATGCTCAAATTTTGTTAATTTTAGTGAACATCTCATGTATACTATATCATTGTATGTGCATGTGTGTGCGCGCACACTGATATAGATGAATATTACTATGTACTGGACATGCTAACTTGCACAAGTGCATAGGGCATAGGGAAGGGTTGCTATGATAAGTTCAAACTATTTTGTGTTTACATCTCATCCATTTAGTAGTAGTACCATTCAGTTCATGAAATTTTTTGTTCTGACCTGCTAAAGAAAAAAGTTAAATTTATTAAAATTTAATTGCTATTTTGATTTTAGTATTCTGATTAATTTCGGATGACAATTAGATTTAAATATTGATACTATTTTTCTTATTTAACAATTCCTGAAATAGTTGTTAATACATAACTTCTATGTTTATTTTGTAAATTCTAATTTAAACTATTCATTACAGTCATGATACAAATGAGGATGTGTTTATTCATCAGGTAACTATCTTAAATAAAATTGTAAAATTAAATGTTTATTAATATAAAATAATAAACTGTTGTTTTTAATAATTGCTTTTAGTCTGCTATAAAAAAGAATAATCCAAGAAAAATGATACGAAGTGTAGGAGATGGAGAAGTAGTTGAATTTGATGTTGTAATTAGTGCAAAGGTTAGTTTTATAACACTCAAAACTAATAAAAATCAAAAATAAATTTTATAAATTTACCAATTACTTTTCATATATATAATTGCTTTATGATTCAATAGGGAAATGAAGCAGCAAATGTCACTGGACCAAATGGCAGTACTGTGCAAGGCAGCAAATATGCTGCTAATTGGAATTATCGTGGTCGTTGGTCTGCAAGAAATAATTTTCCTCCTTTTAGGCAAATGCGGAAAGTAAGAATGTTTAAAATTTTAATATTCTTCTGTTTAAGAAATTAATTTTCCTGTCTATACAAATTCATATCAGTGGAAACTGCTTTAAAAGGTCACCTTTAGGACACAAAAAAGGCCTCTAAAAAAAAGATGACCTTTTTAATTATGAGAGCAATTAATTTTTTTCTCACTTAAACTTTACAAGAACTTATTTATTTAAATTGTTATCTTGCTTAAATTTTTATAAACTTTAAGATAAATAGATCTATTTGTGCTTTGAAATAATAGAATTCAATATAGTTTACCACTTAAAGTTTTATTGTACAAATATTAATTTATACAATGTTTTTTCTTAATGAATAACTGTCAATATAAATGAAGAATAAGTATATTCTGTAAAGAAAATTATCTAAAAGTTTCCAAATAAAAAATTTATTTGGCATTTCTTAAGGAATTTATATTATTTTTTTGTGCAAATTATAGTATGTTTTTAAGTGAAAATAGCTTTCTTTTGCATTTTTCAAACATATTTCCTGCTTTGCTTATAAGAGTATGCTCTTATGTGTTTGTTCTGTCTTATATAAAGCCACTGCATCTGTTTGATGTAAATTAAATGTAAATGTATAGGTAATTCAGTGATCTCTGTGGTAGCCAATATTAAAAATAAAAATTCTTCCAATACTATAAATGAAATACAATATATTCTTAATTATATGATGATTATTCACTAGGGATAACAATGCAATTTAGTTCTGTATTAAACTTAGCTTAACTGTAATTTATCTTTGCAGAAAATTTTCATGATGCTTACAAAATCAAAACTAAAACAAATTGAAATAGTCAATACAAATTATTACAGTGTATTTTAATCATAAATTATAATAATCACTACATTGGAATAATTCTTTAATGTAATCAATTAAATTTAATTAACTAAAATACAGTTTGAGGATTTTTCAAATTCCTAATTGATGCAGGAATAAATTTCTCAAATAGTTTATGGAAGGGATATGCATCAATGATCCAACAATTTCTATTTATATTGATATTTTTAAAATAAATTACATTTAATTGTTTAAATTAATAAAAAAAAAAAAACTTGCTACCATAAATTAAAATTTAACAGTAAATTTTTATATGCATGAAATAAGTATTTCAGGTTGTAATTGTTTTTACAAAATATGCTGAATTATCTATAGTCTTCCAATATTTTAGAAATATTTTTGATATCTTTGTTAATTGACTGTTAAATTATCATATAACTTAATAAAGGTGCAACAAGTTACTGACCATTTGCAGTGTCAAGCAGTTGACCATTTAATTGCCAAACATTTTCATTGAAGTCAATTGAGAAAAAAAATCAGTAATTTCAAAAATTGGTCATTATGTAGCAATGACTGTTTAAATGACTGACTGCAAAACCAGTTTCCACTGTATTTACTTCTGCAATAAAGCAAATTACATTTTTAAAATTTTAAGAATTAGATTAACTGTATATAGGAAACATTGACTTTTCATACATAATAGATTTAAATGTCAATAATTGAGATCAGATGTTAAAATTATGAACTTTTATCATACATAAGCAGTTATTTTTGTATAATGTGTTGTAACTGCTTATTTTCAGAGTCCTAATATAGATAACCTTTCTCAACGCTACAATGAAGATGAGGGTAAAAATTATGCACCGCGTAGAAGTTCTCAAAGACCATTTTTTAGAAAATTTTTTCAAAGACCACCTGGTTCAAAAAACTCTTATTCAAGAGAAAGAGGGGATAATGAGGTGAGATAATGTAGTTTTAAATAAATTAATGATTAATGACTATGTAAAACTATTGTTATATATAAAGTTAGCAAATACTTTTCTCATTGAGAAATTTAATTTCTAAAAATTAAGACATGATCAAAAATAAACAAATGGAACTAGATATTCAATAATTTTCCAGTGGTGATATTGTGAAAGAAAGTAAAAATGTAATCTCTGTGCTAAGACATGTTTTGTATTAGACGGCGCTATGTTGGTGCTCTTTACATTTTTTTGGTCGTAGGTCACAATATTGTTTGGTCTGCTATATTTCAGTGTGGCATGTCTCTCTCTCATTCAGCTTTTTCTTTGTGTTATATCTAACTGTATATTTCTGTGCATCGTTAGATTTGTTTATTTGCTTTATTTTCTGACACATATATTATCATGAATGAGCCTAAAATGTTTTTCAGTTAAATTCCAGTTTATAACTATCAAACTAACTATTAGTATTATCAGAAATTATGCAATATGCTGATTTTCATTAATAATTATAAACATTTATGCAATTAAAATGTGTCTTGTTAAACAAAAATTAAGACTATACAAGAAGTCTTTTATACTTTCTCACACTCAGCAAGTAAGTCTTATGGTGGAGTCAACATTTTAGTCAAAGATGGAGTATAGTCTTAATTTACAATTACAGTACTCTCATGGCCATTTTTATTAAATGTATATTATATTTTTACTTGTGCCATTACCAGAGAGAAATATTTTTATATTTTGCATAGTGAGGTGTACGAGCAACCTCTAATAAAAGGTCAACTCTGCCATAAGACTGTTACTTTCCTGAGGTGTAAGAAAGGACAAAAGACTTTTTATAGTCTTAATTTTTATTTGATTTACAGTTTCTGTCCCATTTCAAATGATGATGCATAATTTCAGATTTTATTTCCTAACCCATTCTATATTGTTTATGGGAAAATTTGTTTTGGTTTGAGAACAACTTTTAGAAATGAATTAAGTCAAAACCTAAGATTTGACTGTATTTTATTTCAAATGTAGATCATGGTTTCTTTAGTTTATTGACTAACAGAAATTTGATTAAAAATGAAAAAGTAGTAATAATTTTTAAGGTATTGTTTATTTTCTCAATAAATTACATAGATTATGGTGTATGAAAGTGCAATTGTTTTGTTATGTGTTTAAGTTCTATTTATTCTTATTAATTCTTAGTAAAATCTATTTAAATATAAATATGAAATTTTTTTTTCTTTATAGAAAAATTTTCCTAAAATCTCATTAAAATTTTTTTAATTTTAAAAATGTATAAATTGCAAAAATTAAAAGTTTTTCCTCCTATTCCATAGAACAAATATATCTCACGGGTAGATGATAATCAGCGTTCTGATTATAACAGACGCCAAGGTCCACCTCGACGATTTTTTCGCCGTTACTTTAGGCGTGCTACTCGCAGGCCACGTAGTGATACAGAAGGAAGTCAAAGTGGAATGGATAATGATGGAAAAGACATGGTAAATTTTATTTTCTTTAACTAGATTTGTTATATTAACAAGTTGTATAATATTTATGAAATTTTATTTAAATGGGCTATCTCTATTTATAGAGAACATCTTTAATAAGAAACTACTTAGATAATCTAGGAAGTTATACCTTTTGTGTCTGATAGTTTCTAGTAGTTATTTTTTTTATTAAATTCTTTTAAATTGAATGGGTTCTTTTTCAGAAATGCAAAAAATTTTTTCTAGCATTGTAGCCTGATAGGAAAAGTTTACTTGCAAAGTAGTTTTTTTTTCTTTTTTAATTCTAAAATATGTGGAAGTATTTCTTCCATATCACCAAGTAAACTTTTGAGAAATAAATTAGTCCTTCTGTCTTTAAATTGAGTAGTGAAATTTTTTTTAATGTTTACATTCATGTTCATTAACATGATTTGATTGAATTTTTCTTAACCAAACTTATTAATACCTTATCAACCTATTTTTACATAAAATTTAAATCCATATGTTGTGAAGAATAAATTTGACAAAAACAAATTGCATATCCTGAGAATTTTGTGAATTAACACATTACACTATAAAATAAACTAATTTAATACTAAACAACTTAAAATTTTCTGGTATTAGGATTCAAATGAATTATGTAAAAATAATCTGTTGTTGCTTCAAAAAATCTTATAAGAGTTTAATGTAATTTCTTAAATAGCTGATTCCTAAGTGTTGTGTTAGTTCATTGTTGTTTAAAATTTTTTGTGATAAATAAAAATGCCTTACACTATTGAACAATTTTTTTCATAGTGGATAGTTATATAGAGAGGAAAATTTACTGAAAATATGGTAATGTGGTTTATGCAAAAATATCCTGAATCATCTGTGCCTATAAAGGTCTGATTTTTACAAACTTTTTAATAAGTGGCTTTTTGTGTAGCAAGATCTGTCTAACAAGAGTTGTCATGAGTAAAAGAATTATCTGTGAGAAGACTTAAAGACATTCAGATTATCTTATTGTTGTTTTCATACAGCTAAGAAAAGAATCAGGTTTTGGCTTATAAGAATTATTTTTAAACTATTGAAATTCTGAATAAATGTTCAATTAAAATGTTTTTTGCAACATGTAACTGGCTGTGCTTGTTACACTGCTTTAGTGTTTCCAAATTCATTGTGCTACTTCACAAGAGCTCACTTGATTTGATCATTTAATTGATAAACCCACAGCTCGATTCACTATCAGGTGGTTAATCAAGTGAAACTTGAAACTGTGATAAAGCAACAGCTTTTTGTTGTAAGCAGTATGAGTAAGCCACAAGAAACTCCACTGAAACTGAAGAGTAATAAAATTTGTTTTGTTTGTTGCAGGCATTGAAAATTTATCTGTTTTGAACAATAAAAAATATTTTTTAAAGTTAGTTGTCATTTATATGAATGTTTTTAATACAAATTTATGTAATGTTGATTGTGTGAATGCTTTTATGTAAATTAAACATAATTACAAATATTCATAAACTGATCAAAATTCTTAGATACAAATATTAAAAAAATTGATTAAAACCTTTAACTTAATATGTCTATTTCATAATTAATGAAATTTGTATTTTTCTCCCATCTATGAACAATTTAGCATGCAAGTGTCATGGATATAAATATTTTAGAACTGTGGAGTTTGACTTCTGAATTGTTCTGGAAATGCCTAGGAATCACAAATCTATTTACTCCAACCATTTTGTGCTTGATTCTACTTGTTCAGAAATTACTATGGGTTGGAAATATGCAGTACTAAGCATCAGGGATGGAGAGTTGGAATTGAGTCAATTTTTTTATGGGCATCATTTTAAAAAATACAGTCACGAGTTGTGTATTTTTCTGCCAACTCCCCCATCCCTGCTAAGCATCACCTTGTTGGAACAAACAGGTTTATGAATTCTTGAACAAATATTTCTATTTTAGTTGATTGAAGGAAAAATACAATTCTAAAGATCTGAGATATTTTAGATATTATACATATAACAACAACAAAAACAGAACAATGTGTCTGAAGTGAACCTTTAAAAAACTAAATGTAACAAATTTGCTCTCAGTCAGATTGTTGTTGTTGCAGTATGGAAACAGGCTTACAAACATTTTTAAGTTGATTGTTTTCATGAATTGTATACATTCTAATGTTTTATTAAACTTGATGATGGGTACATTGTTTCCTAATAAAGTTTGATGTCTGTCTTTAATATGCTTTACAAATGCACTAACTTCATAGCTTTGTACCAACATTTTCTGAAGTTTCTGTTGAATGTGGTTGCTTAAAGCTGGAGTATTGACTTTGGATACTGGAGTAGCTCTATTTGTAGAAGTTGAGGATGTTACCTTACTCTTTGCTTTTGCATATCGGTATAACTGAGTCATTCCCTCTGTTCCAAAGGATACCTAAAAAAGAAAAAAATAAACAACTATTGTTTACCTATGCCATGTAAAAGAATATTGTAGTTTTGTTTTTCCTTCTCATAACACAATTTTTTTTTATCTGTGGACTTGGTTTAGTTTTGTATGTGAATGTTAGGATTAGTTATGCCATTGCTGGACTTTGCAAGATTTGATGTAGAGAACTAGAACTGTACAGTCGACCCCCCCCATAACACTGTTGATTATTCTGTTTTATACGAATTCCATGTTTTACGAGTCACTTAGATTTTACAAATACATGTGCTGGGCTGTGAACGGCTTATGTATTTGTAAAATCTAAGTGACTCATACAACATGGAATTCATATAAAACGGAATTATCAAGTGTTATAGGGGGTCGACTGTAGTAAAATCGTTGATTTTTTTTTCCATTGGTAATTTATAGTTGTTTATGTAAATTATTATTAGTAATAATAATCTGGACAATTACTTTTATGTCTGCAAACAGATCTTAATATTTACTCTTAAGTTAATGACTCAAATGAAGATTTACCTGTTAAAAACTACAAGTACAGCAACAATACTCTTACAGAAACCTGAACCACATTTGCAGTAGCACCAGGCTTTTCTCATAGCTTTCTTTCTTGAAATCTGTTTTGCAGGGTAAGCATGTGGTGCCATAGTTTTTCCACCCATTGCATGATCCAGTTGTTGTTAATGTTTTCATTACCCTACAAGAAATAAGGTAAAATCCCACTTTTAAAAGCTCTTCTTCAATCAAGCATTGTTTTCTGACTAATTCTTCTAATTTAAGATATTCTAATGCATTCTAATGTAATTCCATAATAACATACAAGGATATTGAATATTAATCCAGTTTACAGGTGGAAAAATTAAAGTGCATACAGCCAACTCAAGCATCTATTATCTTTTCACTGAACTCTAAGCATCCTTTACAGGAAGTGGCACTTTCCAGTACATAATTAAACAATCTCTAGTTGTAGTGCAGGCCAAAAATAAGCATGACATTGAGTCAAACAACAGTCAGATGTTATTCTGGGAGAGATTTTGTCTAGCGTTTTTCTTATTTCTGGGCTAGTTTACTGACATCCTAGCATACTTGATTGGTAGGTAACTCTGCCCAGACATGCTTAATGCCAGAAGTCTGGAGATGTGGCCATTTCTTATGACCAGTCACATCATATAGATACTTCCAGGATGTATTTACTGTTCATCTGTCTGTGTCCAATCATTCTTTCCTGTAAATAGCCCCTAGATCTGACAGCAATAGCAACTAAATTGATTGCAGGATCCTTTTCAATTTTTCAACTTGCATGTGTGCATTCTATAAGATACAAGATAGTTCTGTAGATAGTTGATAAGTTCTTTGTTTTCTATCATAAAGAACTATTAGAATTAAGGATTAATATTACTGAAATTCTTGATTTAATTTGCTTTCATATATTGCTATTAAGCTATAAATTTTATTGAAAAAATGTGTTTGCATTTCTGGAAATCAGTATTTTCAGAAGAAAACTTTGTTCATTGACTTTGTTTTCTATGAACGTTTTTATCTTACTACTTTTAATAACTGATTATATTTCAAGTGATGATAATTTATATGCAAATGTTATCACCATTATTAGTATTATTAAATTTGTATTATTATTATAATCCTTTTTAATGTAATTTTATTAGGAAATTAAAGAAAAATCTCAAAGTCATCAGAACCATTTGTCTGGAAATTCTCGTCCTCGACGCACACGCAGAAATTTGACTTTAGATAGAGGAGGTAGAATTCGAAGATTCTCTAAAGAAAATATGAATTCCGTAGATACAAAATCTAAAGATCTAAGTGATAGTTATGGGATGAATTTTTCATCTCAGCATTCAGAAAGAGATTTGAATTCGAGAATTTCTAAACCTCGTAGACCGTCATATAAAAACAAGATAGCAAAGAAAAAATATTACAGCAAGCGATCGAATAATCCAAACTTAAAATCTTCATCCAAAGAATCATCCGAAGAAGCAAAAGATGATGTTACAAACGATGATATTTTTATTCAAGAAAATTCGTATAATAAATCGAATATGATGGTAGAATCATTGTCACATAAAGAGTATGTTACATCTGCTTTGAGTGATATTACAATGAATAATTCTACAAGAGAGAACGAAGTTTTTAATTCACAGCAAATGAAAACAGAAAATTCCAATGACTCTGTTTCTCCTATTACAGTCAATTCTGAGGAAATGCAGAATTATGAATGTTCAAACAATAAAATAGAAATCCAAGATGATAATTCTGAAAAAGAAATAGCATCAAAAGAATTCTGTCAAGCTGAAGTAGAAAGTAATGCTTTGAAGGCTGTTGAAAACACTAAATCTGAAAATGAAGATTTAGTTCAAAATGAAGTAGTTGAAAAGTGCCACACAGAATCAGAATTAATAAATTCAGTTGTTAAATGTAGCGTTGATGTAAAGGAAAACACAACTTCCTCAGAAGAAATTCCGAAAGTAACAAGTAATGAAAATGGTCCTTCAAATGAATCTACTGAAGATACGAATGTTTTAATGAATAATGTATCTCAAAAGCAGACTGAAAATAAATTAGAAAAAGATGAAAATTATGAAGAAAAAATTTCACCAGCGGTGCTTGATAATGTTGTTGATAATGAAAATAAAGATACTGTCGTAAATTCAGATAGTCAAGAAGCGTCTGTTTCCAGTGAACCAATTGATACATCAGTGTGTGCATCTCCTCAAGAAGTTTGCATTTCCAAAGAAACTGCTAAAACAGAGGATAAATCTGTAAATCCATCTGATAAAGAACTTAGTATTTCTGAAGAGAATAATGGAGCAGGTGATACATTACTAAGTGCATCCACTAATGAACTTCCTATTTCTGAAGCAAACAATGGAGCAGGTGACACAAGTATTTGTCCATCTGATAAAGAACTCGTTTCAACCAGTGTTTCCGAATGTGTATCTCCTGCTTCTGGAGATGGAGTAACTGCCTCTGACAGTCCAGAAATGCTAACCGATGAACTCTCAGAAAAAAGTACAGTAGAAGAAAATCAAACAAATGCTTGTGCTAGTGGAGATTCAAATACTACTTCTCCTCCTTTATCAGTTCATAAACCAGTTATTTCAACAGTTAATTCTTTTGGAGAAAAGGTTTGGAATTGAAATTATATAAATTTTTATACTTTGTTAAACTGGATCATTGACTTTTTTTTTCTTATTTTGTTTAGGCTGTTACTTCGTGTGAAGATGTTGGTGCCAGTGACACTCCATCTGAAGCAACAGTATTAGCATAAATTGTTGCATGTAATTTAAACTTTGTTTAAAAAATTTTATATATATATGTATATATACATATATATATATATAGTTGTATAAAGGTCAGTTACTGTAGAATTTAAATTTATAATATGCTGTTTGCTTTTTTTTCAATACAAAAACAAAAAATAATTCTTTCCGCTATATAAAACTCATGAGGAAAGAAACATTCTGCATATAGTTCAACTGTTATTTTTTAATTTTTAACAGCTAAGAATGGCTGTTTTGAGAACAGTCTATTTATTTATATCTCTTTAACTTATTTTTGTCATAAATAAAACCAAAAAAAAAAACAAAAATACAAATTTGAATAACATTATATATATATTATATATATATTTGTTTCATGTATTTGTACAGAAAAAAAAACTGATTTGTTTAAAGTAAGTGATTTAATAAAAAGAAAAAAATGCTCAAAGAAAATTATTTGAAATTTATTATACATTAACTGATTTTTACATAATTTTATATAGAATTGCTTAATATTCTGTTAGAGTAGTTTTATTCAGTTGAATTTTTTTAATCTAATTGAAGGTGTAAAATGAGAAGTGAAAAGTTATTGCCATATTAGTTTCTAAAATCTTTTGTCTAGAGTATATTTTCTAGTAGAAATCTTTAGATAAGCCGTCTGCTGTTTTTCTATGTCGAAAACATTAATTTTGCTTAGCAAAATTGTTAGAAAAAAATTTACATATATAATAAAAATTAAACTTCAAGAAGAAAATATTTTATAAGGTTATAGCTTTTATATAATTACATTACTTGTGAAATGACAAGGGAAATTAAATTAATTAATGATTCATTTGCTGCTAAGTTTTTTTGATAGTTTATTAATATCAGTTTTTATTAAACAAAAGAAGTTATTCATTAAAAACACTAACTGTAAAGAAGAAATATTAAAAATTTTGTAAAACTAATGTCCAAATAAATTGCATGAGTTTTTAAAAGAATGATATATTTAATATCACCAATATACAATGATAAATTATGACATTGTGTTTTATTTATTATGCAACTAACAAATATCAAATCCTTTTATACTTTTGGAATAATTAAGGTTTTTTAAATTAAAAAGATATCTCCGTTTTCTGATAAATCGTGTGCTTAAATAACCAAAAATTCTATTTTTAATTATAGCAATATTGCTATTTGTATTTTTAATTTACATTTTTAAATTAAATATCTTTATTCTGTAATGACAGATTAAATAATGGGTTAAAATACAAAGAAACAACTTATCTTTGATGTTGAAATATTTTCAGTTTGTTTTGAATTAATGGTACAGTACATACAATGATTTTGCCAAATGTTAATTCAAAATTTTGCTTTGTTAAATATCTATTTGGCTGATCAGCTAATGAATTATTGCAGAAATTTTGAAGGAATTCACTTAAAATTGAACTTTTAAGATATTTTTTAATTATGCTAATAAAATTGCTTCTTAAAAATTTCATAGAATTTGTATTAATACTATATTCAATGTAAAAATAAAAATTGATAATTTAATTTCTGCTCATTTAATAGAGCTGTTTAGTTTCAAATATCCAGTAGTATTTAATGATAAATTGTTTTTAGATTGTAATTAAATTTTCCTATAATGTTTTTATATGAGCGTTTTAAACCATTAACTTGTCATTCTGAAACTCATTTTGTATAAGTGTGAAGAAAGGAATTCTCCTTTTTCATATCTTGTCCTCTTGCAGTATGCAGTCTTTCCAATATTAAGTCTTTTCTGTAATTTTCACTATGAATTCTCTTGTACAAATTGGTTCTCCTTTTATAGTTAAGCATTTTACTTAGCTCTTACGGCTAAGTCTTCAACATGCTTAACAGTAATTCAAAATACAGAATTTTACTTTGACTCTTTTTGCACTATCAATAAGGGAAAGAAATTATTAATGTTAACTATTTATCTTGGAACACACAATTAGTTAGCCTGAAACTAGGATTTCAGTACATGATTAAAATGAATGAATTAGTGTGAAAATGTGGACTGCCAAGATGGTTAAGGTCTAAGAAAAATGCCTCCGGTTTTTGCCAGTCTATACGATTCTGGGTCCTCTGAGCTGTATACTTATCTCCTGGATATGATGGACCCACCACCTGATCTCCCCACTGTGTAGAAAAATGATCCCCCCCCATTCTGGAAAAATTTTTAATAAGAGTAAAAAAGGAAAAAAAATCATGTCTACTTTTAAATGTAATCTTAATGATATCCAACTTTTAGATACAAATTGACTTTTAAAGTATCAGCACTTTAATATAAAACTAGTATTTAAAAATAATTTTTTTCAAATACTGATATGAAATATTTTTATTTGCAATTTATAAAGTGCAAGTAAAAGATGTTTTTATCATATTACAATTACTATATCAAATATTATGAAAGATCTATCTCAATAAATAAAAGAATCTTTCCATGTACTTTGGATTGGATACATTCTAATTTATTTTCCAATGTATTTTGTCATTTCAAATTATATTCTTTATTCTCAAGATTCTTTGATTTTCAGCTGTTTTTCAAGTACCATTCCATTTGATTTTATATTTATTTTCAAGTATACAAAATCTGCACTGTACACTTACTGGTTTTATTCATTACACTAATGTTTGCATTCATTTTTTGGGTTAACATTTGGGTTTTCTTAGTTTTTTTTTTTTTTTCAATTTTGGAAACAAGTAAACTCTGAATGCATTAAATCTTTGTGCACAAATGCTATAGCTCAATATATTCAAGATGCATTCATAGACTGAAATTGTTTGCCACAAGCAAATAATGTTCTCTACTAGCTTGTCTTGGAAATAGCATTACAGTCGACCCCCCCCCTATAATTACGATTCCTATAAAACTACGAAAAAATATACGTATTTTGGAAATGTTGAGTCGGATTAGTGTAGAATCGATTAATTTTATGGAAGAAAACCTTTCAATCAGCCGTAGTCCGTAAACTTGACACGTGTCGGGCTGTGATTGGAACGACTTGTAAGAAATCGGATTCCTAATAAATTGGAACGTATCTAATCTTATAGGGGGGGTTGACTGTATTTATAATTCTAGAAGAATGTGTTTTGATCTAAAGATGTTCACTATTTGATTGAGAACAAGACTGGCTCTAAGCACATGGAAAAGTAGACATCTGCTTATGACACCCAAGTTTCAGGAGACGTCAATGAGTTTCATAACTGAAGTGTGTTTTTCATAACTGTATTTCCTCATTATTTCTTTATTCATTTTTATATTAAAGAAAAAGAAACAGCAACAACTGATTTTTTTTAACTTAAGGTATAAAAACTTTGTTCTGTAAACTGTGGCATAAATTAAACCACCAAAAGTTTCTTAATTGCAAAAGAACAAAAAGAATAGATATTTATCCTATTTATCATACTTTTTATTTNGAGTCGGATTAGTGTAGAATCGATTAATTTTATGGAAGAAAACCTTTCAATCAGCCGTAGTCCGTAAACTTGACACGTGTCGGGCTGTGATTGGAACGACTTGTAAGAAATCGGATTCCTAATAAATTGGAACGTATCTAATCTTATAGGGGGGGTTGACTGTATTTATAATTCTAGAAGAATGTGTTTTGATCTAAAGATGTTCACTATTTGATTGAGAACAAGACTGGCTCTAAGCACATGGAAAAGTAGACATCTGCTTATGACACCCAAGTTTCAGGAGACGTCAATGAGTTTCATAACTGAAGTGTGTTTTTCATAACTGTATTTCCTCATTATTTCTTTATTCATTTTTATATTAAAGAAAAAGAAACAGCAACAACTGATTTTTTTTAACTTAAGGTATAAAAACTTTGTTCTGTAAACTGTGGCATAAATTAAACCACCAAAAGTTTCTTAATTGCAAAAGAACAAAAAGAATAGATATTTATCCTATTTATCATACTTTTTATTTTCTAGTTCAATTTTTAAATTATAAAATTTGAACTGAAAAATGTTGGTGGTTGTTTTGTATTTTATCAGCAATAAATGGATGGCAAGTAAATTCAGTTTAATCAATAAACTTAATTTGATTAATGAACAATACGTTGGTTCTACAACTTTGTCTCGGGATATGGCTATTTACAACAGAATATAATAAAAAATATACAATTTAGAGGAGGATGCTAAAGTTTTCCCAGTAATTTTGGCTCAGAATTAATATACTTCTGTAAATTTAGTAATTATCTTTTTAAACAATGGTTTGTTCAAGAGGAAAAAATATATAACTTATTATTATAAACTAGACTTTAAAAAAAAAATTGCAATTGATATATTATTTTTTACTTTTCCATATCTCCAAACAGCATCTGTGTACATAAATGTTCACTGGAGGGAACAGGTCATCTGCCCCACTGAAACAGACCTTAAGCCTTTCTGTAGCCTGATTTTAGTTATCCCAATTGAATTCTAATAGTCTTTATAAGGGCTTGTATCCCAAAAACCCTGCACAAATTTCAAACTTATTTAAGATAACTTCTCCGTACCACAAAAATTCTTAAAATTTAACATTCAAATGACATAGTTAGGACCATGATCTATTGCAATTTGAACTTTAGTCTTAACCCGTTCCATTAACCATTAGAAATGGCTTTGAAGTGACAAAGTTTGGCTTCCTATCCTCCAACTCCTCAGTCGGATCCAGATTCCCAACTATTTTCATGAACTTTTTGCTTTAGTTAGTACTAAAATCTATTGGCCTCAATTACAGAATGTTGGCTTCACAGAATATTGAATTCTGTAATAGTCCAACTTAGCAACTGTCTGACCTGGAAGACATATCAGGGTAGTATTTCTTTAGAAATGGTACTAACCTTTTCCAAATGCATTTGTTGCCATATACTACTATGGTGATATGGGGCAATGAAGGCCTGTGATCATCTCTTTGGACTGATTGGCAGCCAAATCTTTGCTTCGTGAATCACTTGTTCCTCCAGAATCTGGTGAACATACCCGTATGAAATTTTGAACTCTCTCAAGTATTCTTCCTCGCATTGATTCCTCTTCCTTTCAGTCAATTTCCTTCTTTCCACTACTTTTGTTCTTTCTGCAGTTTTGCCTTACTCTGATCAAAAAGAAGCTATACATTGAACAATGTGGCACTCATGCAGAGAAACATTTAACTGTACAATATTTCCCAATTTTGTGATTTTTCAGTATGAAATCTGCCAATTACATTACTTCTATTGAATTCATTTAATTCTTCCATTTTTAAAATGGTCCTCCACCACAGTGACAATATAGATAAAATAATGTCACATGGCACACTTCAGATTGGTTTAATCCAATGACGATGAACCAATGTGAATCTAACGCAATGATTTCAAGATACCCATGTTGTAAGTTTACAAAAAATAATTAATAGCTTAAGAAAACTAATTTTTTCTAATTTATAAACTTCCTTATGTAATGGGAAAGCCCTATAAAGCTGTCATGAGGTCTTAAAAGCCCATAATTTTTTGTCTGGTGTTCATAATTTATCAAATAACAGCAAATTTCCTTTTAACAAGATGTCGGTCCGGTGTAAGAACATAGCATTTTACCAGCACATACTGTACAGTACAGTGTGCTACTGTAAGGCACCCGAGTACATAACACTACTTGACTGCCTGTCTGTTGTGAACTTTAAGTATCAAACTGTGCCAAGCTGACTGAATCAGTCAGGTCCCCTAGATTAAGGATTTTTGTTCCAAACAATCTGAGAAGATATGAAGAAATATCTCATACAAGCTAAAAACTGACTACTACCACTCATTGTTTCTACACACACCATCATAAGTAGGCCATCCAAGAAAAGCTTGGAGGGCCCCCTTAAGGAATTCGTAATGGAGGGTTAATGTTCATAAATTTTTTCAATTAGCTTTCTCTGCTAAACTTATTGTTATATTATGTTTAATAAAATTTATCAAACATAACCTTTTGATTGTTTACTGTTTATAATAAATTTATTACTTGTTGCTCTATTCAATTTTGCAATTTTCTAGATCTTGAATGTTGAGAGGTCCCTGAGCCTATCCAATCTTACTAACAATAAGACTCTGGTATACCTGGTTGTGAGGGTTCCTTGGTATTTTGGTTACTTCCCATAAGACAAAGATTTTATCTCACAAGTAAGTGGTTTTACAAAACCACTTATTTGTAGAGATTTGTTTAAAACCTGTCAGGTCTAAAACCCAAATTGCTGCTCTTGCATGTACAGAACTGTGTATAATGTTTTATTGAAATTTTCAACTGTAAAAAAACAAAATTCTCTACATTTCTGTGGGGTGTGTCATTTTGTACCTTCTTATTTTTTAAAAGAAAGTAACTTTGAAAAAATTTTAGACCTATAATTATCCAATGTTTTTTTATTGGTATCATTTTTTTCATTGAAGTTTTACAAATTGTAGCCCAAATTTCCACTGTCGTCCATCTGTCTTTCCTTAATATCGAGAACGGAGTTAGATGAAAGATGAAACCAAATATGGGAGTCAGGTCTCCGGCCCCTAAGGTTAACTATATACAAACTTCAAATGCAAACCGGAAGTCACATTACTTCAATTCAAAACGTTTCCCCTAAAAGTAGTTTAGATGACCGGCACGATTCTACTGTTAAAGGAAAAGTATGATATACAGGGGTAAGACACTACTAATTTGAGTTGGAGAGCATATATTTTAAATTAAAAATTTCAGCACAGTATTGTGATGTCACAATAGATAAATGCTTGTTTTTACATATATTTTTGTTATTACTGGCAATTAACTTACAGTATTTCCTAATATAAATTATAGTGTAAAACATTTATCAGCACTTATAAATGTAGAAATTATTAGGATAAATCCATTTTATATATACTGTATATATAATTCTTTAATTTGATAAGACTGCCAGATAAAACTGCACTACAAATAAACGTAACCATTATTTATTAAAAATTTAAATTGTCCTTTTAAAAGTAGGGAGTCCAAGAGATCAACTGCATAAAAATATTAAAACATACAAAATACATAATTCGTTCCTATCTTAGCCTGAATTAAATAACTATACAGCTCTTAACAAAATATGTCTGTATAAACAATTAGAATTTTTTAAAATTTGACGTCCCTACATAATTTGATATGCCATACTTTGCTCCATCGATCAATATTCAACTTGCATCGTGTAATATAAAAAATTCATAAATAAGACACCTGAAAATTTTGTATAAATTTATGAAAATTTGCCATCCAGTTTGCCCATATGATGCTACAGTATGGGCAAACCTGATAGGTAAGGTTCACTGTACTGGTACCGGTACTGTCAGGCAGTCACGTGCTTCATATGCTGTCTTGCTTCCAACATTGCACTTACTTCCATTTATAATCATTGAGCTATCTTATGGGGTTGCCACGTGTCTTTTTGGTAGGACAGTCCTACACTTACAACAGATGTCCTACTTTCTACATTATGTTCAAAAACTTAAGTAGGACAGTGTTTTTGTTTTACAAATCTCACTCTATAAACTTTTTAAACAAGTTTGCAAAGAACATTCAATTAATTTCTGAACACATAAGATTTTGTGAACACAGTACAAAACGTGATCTTGTGTGACAGTGCTGGAGCAATGTCATTCAAAATAACATCACTGATTTAATTTGGCAAAAAAAGTAATTTACAGTTAAGTACTGTATTTGGGTATTTGCATTTTTTTTGTTTTGAACTATGCCACAGGTTGGTAACTTCTGTCTTTGGTCAATGCCCCAATGCAAATTTCACCTGTAAAATTTTATAAGGAACATTGATGATTTCCATCTTCATATACTCTCCACAAACAATTTGGTACAGAGCAAATTCTTCTCACAAACATCGTGAAATGAATGTTACCATGCAATGATACTTGATTTTGAATGCATTTACAGATGATGTATATTTATAACTTTATCGCATAGAACCAATCGCCTGTCTGCTTTCTCGATAATTAATTGAAAATATTTTCAGTGCTTCGAAATTTCAACATACACCTGATATCTCTTAGAAATTCTAGAAAAATATTCTTAACAGAACATATCCTGTACGACAGTTAAATGCATCTCGTAAAGGACATCTTGACACTTCACTTAAACAAGCAACTGGAAATAATTTTAAATATAAATCTCCTCGCTACTAACACTTAAAATCAGCATTAACCTTCAGAGAATTCAAACCAGTATTTATTCATCAATCCGCAACCGTGGTTAAATACTTTTACTTTGATTTACAATCTGATTTGACCGGTTACATAGAAAATTTGCAATCGTTTCAACACCAAAAAAACTTTTGCACTTAAAAACATGTTTTAAAAAATAATGACCCAGTAAGCAAGCATTAAAGGAGTAAAAACAAACTTCACAGAAACTTGGAGATTTTGTGCTGGAAAATAACTCCAATTTAAATACTACAATAGAATATTGTATAAAAACTTTTTTTTTATTGCACTTAAAATCTTGTGTATGCCAAGACACATCATTTCTTCAATGTGAACTTATAAAGAAAATTAGTTTCCACAAGCATTCCAAAAATATTTAATCACCAATAACATTTTTCATTTAACATCACAAAAATGAAGGCAATGTATTGTACTATACACACAGTTTATTTTCACTCCTTTAATATAGTAAGCAACTATTTATACCAATTAACTCTAAAATGAAGGCATTTTTTGAAAGATTCTAATTCAATTATATTTTACAATGGATAAAATTTCCTCCTACAATTTTAAATAATAATAATTATGAATAAATGTATAATAGAAATGCAAATAAACTGAATAAAATCCAGGTTTTAAGAATTTATTTTAATGAGTTTTTTTTTTCGTTCTTATATTCAAACATATCTGCAGGTATACTCACATTGAATTGTCTGAATGTTTTTTTTTCTTTTTTTTTTTACCAAAATAAGAATTTAAACACAATGTATACATGATTGAAATATAAACATAATATTTTACATACATCCACAAAATTAATTCATTATATATAAAATGTTATTTGCTTTCTTCTATAAAATATATACTTTTGTCAACGATAGAGAAAGCTTTCACTTAATCTTATTCAATATAATATTGTATTTCTGAATAAATTTGATTAAACTATTTTTATGCTTGTTGGATCCATGAGATTAACAGATGCGAATGAACGTCTTTTCATTCTCGAGTCTGCCGTTGCTATGGATTTTCTCATAATTTAGCAGAAAATAAATAAATAATACATAAATTTTTTTACCCAATTAATTTGGCATTTATTGTATTTGATAGATTCTGTACTCATTCCTATATTTTAACAGTAGAAAAAATATTTTCCATGTATTACTAATGTAATTTAAATATTCTATTAATATTTAAACACAAACCTTTCTATAGTAATTTACCTGAAATTCAATTACCAATAATTAACTTAGAACGACCACTTCAAAAATACTATTTTGAAGTCGTTATTCTTTCAATAATTGCTCATGTTATAATACAAAAACACTTCTATATCTTAAACATCAATAATAATATTTTTTTAGCAAAAAATTCTTAACTTATCCACTCAATCCTTGATATGGTAATGATAAGAATTTAAATAGTCAATCTCATTCTATTAATTTTTTATTTTTTCAAGTCAATAGAATAATTTATTTGGGTGCACGTGTAATATTCCTATCCCCAAAACTTTAAAGACAAGTTAAAAATATTAATCTGTAAAAATCTATTAACCATAAACTAAGAAATGATTTACTATTATTTTTTTCCATCACTTTGTTGTCTTACTTATGATCGGAACAGATAAAACTTTTTTGCCATTTCTAACTAGAAATTTAAAAATTTTAAAATACAATACCTGTAACTACCTTGTTATGAAATTCATAAACAGTAAAAAATGTAAAAAATTTTAATATAAAAGAAACCTTATAAAGTTTTTTTCAAAGTAAAATAAAGAAATTCACTTGGACTTTCAAACCTTTAATCATAGAAACTTGACAAAGTAAGAACTTCAATACAACCCACCCTTAGCTCCACAGTGTATATCACCTGGTGTTTCTGGTCTGCAGCATTGCTGACATACAACATCACAGTAGAAGTTCCAGATATAGTCTATCCCATATACAGAATATCTATTATTCGGATGTTACAAAGCAGTTTAATTGGATGAGAACATTCAAACTGTTTACCAGGTTTAAGAAAACCCTTATTTATTATCTTTAGATCACCGACATTAACTTTTTACTGTTCACGAGACACCACAGAGGTGCAATTGTGATAGCAATACTATCGAAAACAACTGAAGGGCTGATATTTGTATTTCTTGCCGTGTGGGAAAAGATCTGTTTGGAGACTTCTTCAAAATTTATTCAAATCATTTTATATTGGCACATCGCAACAAAGTTTTTGAAACATATTCTAACAGAAACCTCTTTATGAATGAAATGTATATAATGAAGAAAGAGAACCCTAAACGTCTAAAACAAGCATTCAAATTTATAGAGCAGGTTGTTCCTTAAACCTGTATTAATTAATATTCAAATGCATTAAAATATTAATTACATAGTGTTTGAATTATTGAACTGTGAAATATAGATAGATGCAGATAGATGATATAAATCCAATTCTACTCTGTCACTATTTAAATATATTTTTCAATTTGGTTATTATTTTTAAGGAACAGCCTGTGCAAGTTATTCAATTTTTCATTATTTTATCTTTCTTAAATTTTGACAATTTTTTTTTTGTTTTATTTAATGGAATGTGTTTCTAAGTGGAAGTAATGATTACCAAATTTGTCTGCAAATTGGTAAAAAGAAAAATCAAATTAATAAACAAATCAAAAATTATCAAACATTACAGTGATAATGCCAACTTCTTTTTTTTTTATAATTGTTTAGGTGCTATCTCTTGCACTAAAACTAAATGTATATTAACACCGAATTAATTCTGATTTATATAATTTTAATTAGCTGAATTTGAAACTCAGTTTTAAATTTTTTTTGCAACTATTGCAATCACAAATTTTTTACTTATTACTCTTTATATTTTTTTTTTAATATTTGAAAGCAAAACAAGTTAAAGCTTCCATCAGGCAATTAATTGTGGGAGAGGGAAGAGGAGCATCTTAACATTGCACATCCTGAAACTTGCACTCAGCTGATGTGTTTTGTCAGTAAAATAGGTTTTTTATTATTATTATTTTTTAATAATGTACGCTCTTAACAAGTGAAGCACCCAAATCTGTTTGCAAATGATGAGCAAGATAAACAAATGACAGCACAATGGCTGGAGATTGATGCTCCCCTATCCAAATATTACATTTAATGCTGGTGTTAATTGGCATTTTTGCACGTAATAATGGCTTCTTCTCCCACAGCTGCCAGAACTGTTACCTATAAAAAAAGAGAAAATAAATTTCAAGATCATTCCTATCTTCATTATAAAATTTTATAAAATGCTGTTTTTTTACTTTTAAAGCCAAAGTAGCATATGATATATACTCCCTTAAAGTTCATTCTAATCATATTATGTTAAATAATTTTCTGTTTTATTTTCTGTCAAGTCATCAATTATGCAATATCAAAATGTTATCACTTTCTGCAATATATCTAAAAGTATGCAATTGTCTAATATTTAATTTCATTTTTAACTTTTTTTTTAGTTTTTGTTACATTAAGTTATTTTCAAGTCATTAAAATTATTTAATTTTTGAATTAAATCCCAGAAAAGCATTATTTTTTGACATATATTGAAATTTTTAATAATATTTTACTTACAATAACAGTATTATCCTCTTTACCAAACTCCTCTCTGATTTTTTGTCCAAGATCGCCTTCAGGAATTCTTAAATCATCACGAGTATCTCCTTTGTCATTCATTAAAGTTGCAAAACCATCATCACTTATATCAATTAGCTATTGAAATGTTCAATTTATTTTTATTATTTTTATTTTCTGTTAATTTCTCTTAATAAAACAATTAAATACACATCAATAATTAGCACAATATAAATAATAATTTACCTGAAAGTCACAACGGCTTACATTTGGAACATCAATATTATGAGTAGAAGGACACAAATCTTCATATTTTTTGTTGGTAAAAATATCCAAACCTACCAAATGTACCTAAAATTTTTTATATAAAGTAACTATTAAACTTTATATTTGCATGATATATATCAAATATTACTAATAAATAAACATTTACAACTAAAAAATAGCAATTAATACATCAACAAGAACTTATTAGCATCATAATTACTTCTTAATAAAAAAGGAATGATAAGAGATACTTTATTTGAAACAGTTTGAATTTCAGATAATGTAATTTTTTAATGCTTTATGTATAAATAATTTTAATTTTTGTTAAATGACATATTGTAATATAGATGTAGCTCCAAAATAATTTTGCACTCACTGTTATATTTGTCATAAGAGAAATAAACAAGAAAATTTGATAACTTACTGATTTGTTTGTATAATACCAAGTTGTTTTTTAGTAGAGGAACCTTAAAAATATTATCTAATATTTGTAAATAATAATATTCAATGAATAGTTATGAAAATAGCTATTATAAATGTGAACTGAATCCAGTTTACTTGTGCAGTTGTTGTTTTTTGTATTATAAATGTATTTAATATGATTATTACATGCAATTTAACACTATTAAAATTATAAATAAATGTCTTGTTTTTGTATGCAACATTAGGTTTTTGTTCCTTTGTTTATAAATTTTGTATTTTCAATCAAAATTTCCTTTCTTCAAAATTTTTTAATGCTTTTAGAATATCTCAGTTTATTTTTACATGAATTTATGAAATGAGTAATGTTACATTTATAAATGTAAATTAATAAAGCTTTCATGAAGATCCAAAGTTTGCTATTTTGATTTTAAATGAAAACTTAAATTCATTTCTATTAAGTAGACTGCATACCTTAGCATGACCGTGCTTTCCAGTTTTTGAAGTGCTCATTTCCATAATTTTACAGGGACGTCCCTTTAACATAACAAATCCATTTTTACGAAGGGAAGAACACTGTACAGGATAAGTTGTTGAAGCACCTGCATTAGCTTCAGTATATTCCTCATCTCCTTCCATTTTTAAGAAGCTAGCTCTGAAAATAAAATATTTTATAATCAGTGTCAAATAAAAATTGAAACATTAATTTCCATGTTAGTTGTTTATGTAAATGATAAGACTATTTTGCATAAAAACAATCTAGCAACAAATCTATCAAATGAGAACTTTACTTATTTCTGCAAAGAAATCAACAAGCTAGAATATATCCTTACTATCTAGAGCAGTGTTCTGCAACTGTCACATGATGAAAGGTGTGATGTGAACTTTTACATATTCTGTTAATTTCAAATTTTATTTATATATTTATATCACAGTTGTTGTGTTTCTTATGCTTTTATTCCATTCTCTGTCGCAGCACTGATGAAATAAGATGATGTTTGTTTATTCTTTATTACAAGCAATAATAATAGGTTAATGGCATTACATAATTTTATTAATAGTATCATATCATACATTTTTGAGGGGAATAACATTTTGGTGTGCCATGTTGAGTCATGGGTGTGCCGCGAGTAGAAAAAGGTTGCAGAACACTAATCTAGAGCAATTCAATACTAATTAATTGTGTTGAGCAAGATCTAACTGGTCAATCCATAATTTGAACACTCATTACTCAAGGCAATCACTAAAAATTAAATCTCACATAAAGAGTATTACTATCTGTGAAAAAATTGCAAAATTAGTACTACATGCAAAGTAGAATTTCAAGCTTAGAGCATTTTTCTATTAAAATAATAATAAGATATAAAAGACTAGAAAATTACCAAAAAATAATTCCTTTATATATTATCATCAATAAAAATTAATTTTACTATCAAATGAAAATACACAATTTTATATTACATGCATATGCATATATTGACTTACACAATACATCCAAGTTCTTTTTTACGTAATTGGCTTATTATTCAGATTAGTGACAAGGTTTAATTTATTCCAGATGAATAATAACTTATTATTCAGATTCTGTAATTTAAACATAATTTAAACATAGTTTAAATGGTAACTTGGGCAATCAGCCCTAAGGGAATCAAGCATCACAAATAACCAATCAAAACATTTGTATGTGGTTTTAACTGTTATTTTGATGGCCAAAATATTCCAGAACTGAAAAAAAACTGTAGTAATCAAATTTATAAAAAAATTAGTTCTCAGTAATTCATGCAAAAAAGAAAAAATCTGACAAGAGCTCTTGTACACTTTCCCGGCACTCAAATACAACATTAAGGAGAAAATTGTCCTTGGGTCAATCTGTTACAAAGTTTTATTAGAAAATAAGTTTATAATAACTATTGTAAAAAGCAATAGCCTTACTTTTGGGAATAGGAGCAAATTTTTTTAAAAATTGTAAATGCTAATCTATATATATAAAAATGAATGTGTATGTCTGTCTGTCCTTCATGCATTACTACACCATTTATCCGATTGCCATGAAACTTTGGGAAGTTGTTTAATATACTCCCGTGAAGGTTTCTGGCATAGTACATTTATCCTACGATAGATGGCACGCGTGTATACGAGCATTTCATCGTGAGCATTTTAGCACAGTTAGGAGTTGAAACTTGAAATTTTGTACACAGTTAAACTGGATGCACGCATGCGGTGCGGCAAGGAAAAGCGGTGTTGCAAACGAATCTTCATCACACGGTGGCAATCTGCTTACATTTTGGTGCATGCGTTCAGTATTCAAGATGGCGAGCGGTACCGATATTGTCGCTATCCACATGTTTACAAAGTTTGTTTTGTACGGCTTGCTTTATTTAGTTAGAAGATTTTGTCGAAGATTCGAACAAAGATTTTGGATTAAAGATATTTTCTTGGATTGATAAAGAACTGATGAACAAAATAAGCTTATTCCTCGATAAAGAATACTATTTCAAGTAAGATTTGGTTGTTCTGTTCTTTGAATTAAATTATATATGATTATTTGTGTAGAATTTGTGTTAAATTTATTATCTTTTCTCTTTATTCTGATGTTAGTTATCTCGGTTAACAGCGTTGAACTTTCCGCCATTAAAACACCACGTGATTGTATTTTCTCACGTGACTACCAGACGAACTGTTATTGGCTGATAGAAACATGTCTTGGCAGCGGTTGCTGCAAAAGATAAAATTCAACCAATTTTTGCGGCACAAAATCGACTTCTGTGGCGAGAAAGTGGCATCATCCTGCCGCTTTTCCTTGCCGCGCCACATGTGTGCATCCAGCTTTAGGGTACGTCACGAGAACGCACACTAACAAAGGATTTTTTGAAATTGTTTTGGGCATTATTTTTAGTTGTTATTTTCTTTTCAGAAACTTTTTTGTCTTAAGAATGGAAACACCCAATAAACCCCAAAATATACTAAATTCAAAATTAACAACAATGAATATTTATTTACACAAGTGACTGACCCTATAATGCTTAAATAAGTAAATAGGGTAACACAGAATTACACTTGTAAGCAGATGAAAGACAACACACCCATTCAATGGTGTGGCATTGCTCCCAAAACCTACCTTCCTTGAAGCAAATTTTCTGGCATTCTTCTGATAAAGTATCAACTCATAAGAGGTGTCTTCTCTGCTTTTTATTTTTAATATTTGTGGAGATTTAATTAATTGTACGTCCCAAGCTGGAGGAAAAAATTTCTTTCATTGATTAATTGCTTTTTTGCTTGTACATAATTGATCTTGACTTGTTTTGGATACTTGAAATATATATTTATTACTAACTTCTTGTTTATAATCATTGTTGTTTATTTATATATTATTGTGGATTTTTGCTTTCCCATTAAGTTCAAGCCTACTACTTGATTAGAAGTAGTAGGCTACTAATTTTGTGTAATCCCACTTTTTTGTGTCACACAGTATGTTAAATAATGACAGACTTCTAGAAATGGTCCAAAAATTTACCAATGATTGCAAATTCAATATTTTCAGCTCTGAAGGTAGAAAGATGGTATGGAAAAAGCAGAATGATGAGATTAATCCAAACATTCAATTTCTACAGTGAAACATGGAGGTGGATCTGTCCTTGTATGAGTCTGCATGAGTGCTGCAAGGGTTAAAAATTTGCAATGTTGACTAAATCATGGACCACAAGTATTACTTAAATATTCTACACTTTTAACCTTCCTAGTAGTGAGAATAAAATGACAACTACAGTTTTATGCAGGTCAATGATCCAAAGACAATCTGGGTCTTTCTTTTGCTTTACATTTAAAAATGTGCTAGAAACTGAAATTTCACAACACAGCAGGAAATTTAAAATGTGGAAAGTGGGCAGAAAATAAACACATTTTCCGAAAACAAATACTTCAGGTTCTGCCAATCAAAAATCTGTCAACATATTCATCAACAAATTTTACAGCTCCATGTGTCAACAGCAGCTGCCAAGATTACCACCTCCTAGTTAGAATGCTGTTATCTACAGGAAAACAAGCATCAGGGACTGAGTTCATATCATATGCAATTTGTACATTATTGTTCTTCGATTTCCCAGTTTAAAAAAATATATTTGATATTATATTATATAACTGTATTGCTGTGTGTTAGATCTTTCTATAGGTTGCGTGTACCAACCTGAAATGCATTTGTCATTTTTTTGAAAAATAAAAGTGAGTTCCTAACTGAAAGTTTGGCTGTGAGTCCGTCTACCAAATTTTTTTGGATTACAGAGACGTATTATATAGAAAGTACATTTGATATCCTGAAAGCAGAAGAACATGAAGGTACTGCACATATAAAATTATAGAACATGTACAGAATGAACACACAAATTTAGACTCTGATGATGATGAGTCATACTAAAAATCTACACAAAAATTTGTTCAATCTAATGCATATGCTATAATTTCTAGTAGTAAAATTATGGAGAATAATTTTCTCCTCTTGTTGAAGATAAGTTTTCATTAACTTCAACTTCTTTAATCCAAAGACTGTTTAATAAAACAAATAAAATATTAAGTATACACAAAGTAGAACTTTGCCTCCATTTTCTTATTTATTTACTCACAGTTAACTGTATTTATAACACTTTTACTTTCTGAATATCAGTTTGTCAAGAATATAAATATATTTATTGGACTCAAGACAGTGACCTTTATTATGATATTGTAGCAAAAAGCACAAATAGAAACAGAATTGAATACAGAAATTGGAAATATATATTAAAAAATGTTTATTTTCACAGATACAAACAAAATTTTAAATCACTTAAGGTTGTGACACACTAGGCAATTTTTGTGGGAGACATGTTGCCAGGTGACAGAAAAACCTATTTCTCAGTCAGTGGGAGAGCAGTTATTGGGGAGTCAAATCACTAACTTTTGGGAGACAAAAAATGTTTTAACATGAAATAACATGCTACCTAGTATAGGATAAATGCAAAAAATATAATAATACTGCATTCTGTAAAGTCAAGGAAGATGCTACACATTTTTTAAAAATCACTGTATATTAAAAGCTAATTATTTAAAATCTGAACTAAATGAGTGAGATGATGCAGTGGGATCTTCCTATTGCAGTTTTTCACCTGATTATCTTAGCTCTTATCATGGCAACTGTATTTGTGGAATAAAAGAATAACTATACACAAGGCTCATAAAACTAACAGTGAAAATAAGAGCACACTAGTTATTTTATTTGAAAAAATTTGTAAGTGCTTTCTAGTTAAACATGAAGGTACAAATAAATATAACTATGGTGTAGAGATAGTAATAATAAGCATCTACAATCAGCTAATTTCTTATTTTTAATGGCTATATGTTAAAAACAAGAAAGAATAGTCCTTTCAAAAAGACTTGGACAAAACAAATCTAGCAACAAGTCGTGTAACTTTCCCCAGTAACAATATTTAAAACTGCATATGGCACCATCTGTTATATTTTATTTAAAAACTTTTTATATTATAAATTAATATAAAATGGCAAAAAGCTTAATTTTCAGGGTAGAGATGAGTTTTATAAAAAAAATTGTAAATGCTAATGATGAGTAAAATCTTTATTAAGTCCATTCCCAATTGAGATATGACTTTCCTCAATCATCCCCTTGAC